TTCTGAATTGAGGGGCTGTTGTTTTGGGAACTGCACCATTGGTTTTGTATTTAAATCTCTTTGAAAAGAAAAAGAATGAAAATATATTTAAAAACTTATTGTCATATTAGAAATGATGATAATATGTAATGATAAAGCTAACAAATGATAGTAATGATTGATAACTATTCTAAAAAAAATATATTATGAATAGTCGTGATGATAATGATAATAGTATGTTAGGATGAACATAATGATAATATTATTGATATATCATAAATAAATTGTAATGTCAAAACACCTTGAAAACCATACTTTATTTGCCAAGGTACAGAATTAGTTTGATAATGAAGTTTGCTTGTGACTTGCAAGGATGTAGAATATTAAGACACTAATAATTGATGTGATATAAATAAAATCATCCTAATTGCAGTCCTCTTGGTCATATGATAATTGAAATATAGTTGAAGGCAGTCGCAGGTCTTACATGAAGTACAGAGGGTAGTTTATGGAATTGGAAAAGCTGCCACTTCTGTGTGACTGTTATATTCTCTATTGTAGGGGATAAATTATCAACACTTTTTTCACTGGATATTTTCATTGTATGTAGAAAATGCACCCTTTTCCTATCCTTTTCTTCTCCCTCTTTCCTCTTGATGCCAAGAATCTGTTAGTACAAAGGTAGACTCCTTGAAACATTCCTTTTAATTTTATTCCTCTTCCCATCCAGCTGTATCTCTTCCAGGCCCCTTTTGTTCTTCCTTTTTCTCTCCCTAACACTGCCATCATCTTCAAATATTTACCATCAGTAGCCCAAAATACTGCAGTATGTTGAACAGGAATGGCTACAGTGTATAACTGATTAGCATAGCCACTGGAATAGATTATACTGGTATCCTGTTTGATGGTGAAGTAAAATTCTTAGCTTGTTGAATTGGATGAGGATTTTGGAAGAAACTCCTCATCTCATTTGATTTTGGAAGGCCTTTTCCATTCTTTGTCTCAGCTACAAACATTTCTATCCTGTGAATATCTCTGGTTTCAGGATTTATTAGCTGGATTAAGTCTGATAGCGCTTTATATGTAAATTCTCAAGGATTTTGCTGTATTTTCATATATGTAGTGTACAAAACTTAACTAATTAAAGAACAAATAGGAATGATTACATGGTTAACACTGATGTAGAGATAAAGGATTGATATGTAATAGATTATTTTCATTTCCACTTCTCAGAATTTTACTCTCATTATTTATGACCGAGTCTATCTGATTTTCAAATACTTGTATCTTTATCTTGATTTTGAGAAAAGAATGCATGCAGTAGAAACTGATAGAATATTGTTTCTGTAAATTCTTGGATTGTTGGAATGGTGTATGTGTATAATTTTGTGTTTTTGCCTGTGAAGTGTTTTGATATTTAATGTTTTGGCACAGTCTTAAGGTATGATGTAGTATGTGAGAAGTTGGTTCCAAGTCTTGGTGGTATGCTACTCTGAGTGGTGTAAAGATAGTCACTAGTGATACAGGTCTTGGTTCTGTGATTGCTGTTGTTACAATTGAAATATAAGACATTGCATATGTATATTACAAAAAAAAGGAAAGAAAAAAAGTAAGTGCATAATGGTGAAAAATTTGATGTTAGGTATAACAGCATTTCCTATCAAGGTCTTCATGGATAACATGTTTATTTATATAAAGGTTGTATAGTTTTTATTTATTTATTTTTTTTGATTAGTTAAGACTGAAAAATCACCCTTTAAAGAGTTTTAGGTACGAGAAGTTTGTTAACTTTTGGTGGTGGTTATACTGCACAGATCACTTGTGTTTTATTGTGCACACCTCTTTTTTCTCATAGTTCAGTTTTTAATATTTTTGTATTAAAATGAAAAAGGAATATTAAAAGAAAAAAAAAATCAATGAGGAGACATTATTGATATTTTGGTAAAGTTATAGTATTCCAATGTGAACTAATTTGAACATGAAGCAGACAGATGAATAGAAGACATTTTATATGTACAAAATGCATGTTTAAAGGGCTTCCAATGGTAGGTACTTAGCACTAACACAGCCTTGAACACCAACCTTGACACTATTACAGGAAAAGAGTCGCAGCAGCTCCTTACAGTACTCTGTGGATGATCTACAGAAGAAACTGACCCAATCCTTTGGTGACTTGACTGAGTGCCAAGATAAAGTTGAAGAGATTGAGTCCTCCCTGAAAGCTCAGGAGGCCAAGGAAGTGAAGGTAGAATGATAGATGGCCCTGTGTTGCCATTCTGTTGAGAGTACTTTTTTCTGCCAGCAGAGGGTTGCCACTGGGTCTCCTGATTCATTTGATGCGTGTCCATAAGGGTCTTAGTTCCTTAACTAAGGTGTTGTGTTGGTTCTCTATCTGTCTGTGTTTGTTTAAATGATTTCCTTACAGCTACATGGGTGAGATTCTTGCTGAGCAACATAAAACACGCTTATTGCCTTTGCTGAATTGTATTCCACTGCTCTCTCTGTGTATACACACATTGCA